TGTCCTACAAGAGATCCGTCACTGTCTGGACAGGTCACTAGAAATGTCTCTAACTGGAGTTCTGTGTGATATGAGTTAGAATCTCATAGGGAAGATCATTCATCTGGAGGCTGAAGAAATGCCTTGCTGACAAGCCGCAACAAGCATGAATTTTAGATTCAGTACCTCCTACCGATTGACTTCAACCACCTTACAGTAATCAAAGTTTCAAGTGCTTTTACGAGTTTGACAAAATCCTGGACTTGTGCTCAAAGCTGGTGATAAAACTTTGGAAGTAGTTGAAGGGTTCATATGACTACGGAGTTGTGTATATGCCAGTGGTTTGAAAGATAAAGTAGCTGACCCTTAGGTAGGTGCATACTAGTCCTGTTTTTTTAATATCTTCATGATCCCAGTCTGACTGTTAAGGATAGAAGATACAGCACTTGAGCGACAGCATTTCAGCTCCAATGGCTTTCTGTGTTAAATTTATTGAGCAACATGATAGTTTAGAGGATGTTTGTGCAGAGTTGGCGTTTCTTGTAACACTGTGATTTCTTTATTTCACTTCAAGAAACCATGTGACCTGTTGAGTGAAGCAAAAATCAGAAATAGCCCATGACTGAAATTAATCTTTGTCGTATTATTGTTCGTTTGTGCTTTCTTTTATTGCAAAGTAATGGGAAGTGATAAAACCTTCAAAAAGTTATTTAAACGTTGTTCTGACCACTCTCCTATTGTTAGTTTATATCTCTTTAGTTTGTGGTAGTACTCGTTCAAGTTACAGCCTAATAATCAAGATGCGATAAATTTGTATTTTTAGTGAAAACGAATGTTGCAATGGATTACACGGACATGCAGACTGGCTAAAATCGGTCTTTATAAAAGGAGTAACCAATGGAAGAGACTGAGGTATTTGAAAAGCTTTTCAGCACTTAAACTAACTGGACAAAATCATTTTACAACTTTAACTCTGTATCAATACAAGGATAAAAAATGTGCTCACCATTCATTTAGGAGTAAAGATATAAACTTGCTTGTTAAGTGGAAATAGTATCGCTGAGTTTTAATTTAGAATCTGTCTGTAATCATCCGTGCACTACCATTATGTCTTATTATCTCTTTTGTGTTTACTGATCGACTTTATAGTCGAATGTGCTGTTTTACTTGTTCCGTGTATAGGTTGATTAGGTCATGAACTTTATCGTTCATCTCTGTTTTCATATATATGAGGTAGTGTTCATCATGAACTAACATCGGTTAGAGAATTACTGAAAGCCTGGAAGCACTGGATAGCTGTTTCATCCTAGTATAAGACTCCTCAATAGTACGAATACATGACCCGCCGGGGATCGAATTCAAGACCTTCAGTTTTCATGGTGAACACACTGACCACTCAGCCACTAGGTCAGAGTTCAGTGGTTCACAGGTTCCTACTTTTATAAGTTCATGATATAGCACAACCATCAATCAAAGTCTTCAGCTGGCATCTGCTTTGCTTCCTACTGGTTGATCCACAGTTGCATATGGCTGATGAGTCCCATACTAGGAAGAAATGGCTGCCTAGTACTCCGAGGTTTTCGATATTTCTCCAACTGATGTCAGTCAGTGATGAATACTACCTTAAAAGTAAAATCCCCACTAACCTTAGAATACATTACTGCATAGTGCTCATTAGCGACATGCTTCTAGAATGATATCCCGAAGTTCTAAAGAGAAGCCGTAACCTGTAGGGTCAACCAGCTACAGCATATTTTCTTAAAGATAGCTGATATCTGACTGCCACACTAAAGTTCTACGCTGTTAATAATTCACTTTTCATTATATAGGAGTAAAACTTGGACACTGGTAGATTGTAGTTTCATTTTAGTCTGCTTATTAGATGCGTCCACATTCGTGGACAATAAATTATGTCCAAAACGTTACCCAGCACATAATACTGTTTCACTGTGTCAACAGAAAGAAATAAAGAGACTAAAAGGGAGTATATTTACGTTTTCTAGCTGAGTATCAAATGACAATGAGTTACGTAAGTGTCAAATTTTTAGGCGGAAAATTATCAGTGGTACGTATCAATTTTAGAATTTATTATTTTCTACTCAACAAGAAAGTAATTAATTATAAAACCCCTTTGTTACGCACTTCAATTTCATAAGTCTCAGTCAGTGATCAAGAAGACTGATTTTTACACACTTTGCTCATATACCAGTTTACACATCAATTTTTAAATCAAAAATTATCGTAGCAAACAACTGAAAGCGAACAAATATTGTTCCTCCAATTGTTTACTGATCTATTTGGTCGTTTTTTGATTTTGTGTCTCAAAGAGTAAACAACTATAGTTTTCAAACATGTTTACTCCTAATCAGTGATTAGAATTTACTAGCAGTTGGCTTGTAATTCATCTGCCCCCTAAATAGATCAAAAGATTTCAAAGGGTGATACAATGACCTTCCTCCGGATTGGTCGTATGGCTTTGTTTAAGCAAAGTTTTCATTTCATATCTGATAAAGTTTTAGAATAATCCGTTTATTTGACAAGCAAATGGAAATTGGAAAATTAATTAGCTGACTTATGCATTAACGATTATTTCTGTTTTGTTTGTTTTTATGTGTTGACAATTAATTTTTAAAAATGTAAAAAGTGTCCAACTGTCAGCATCAGATTATAATCGTAGTTCTTAACTGCTTACATTCTGTTGATAAAACTTACTGAAGGATTGAATCTGTATTATTGTTAAGTTGATGTATAGACAATACATCTAATCAGCAGTAATTTCAATGGTGTTATACTGTTTTGTTATACGGGGAAGCATACTGACACATAGGACAAGTCTTAAGTGTGAATACTGATTATTACATCCAGTTTAACCAATAATTAGTCCTTTTCTTCTTTAGCGTAATGTAAACTTATTCACATACACATGAAGTTCGGCAGAAGGGCAAACAGTCTAATGCAAGGTAAAAGTCTATCTTTTCCATTTTCTATAACGAACAGTTGAAACCTAAGCGAACTGAAGATGAATTCAAGTTACTACTCAGCATTGACACCAGTTGAGTTCGATTCTTGACAAGGTCATGGAAGTGCACTGCTGAGGAGTCCCATACTTGGACGAAACAGCTATCTAGTGCCCCAGTATTTTTAATTGTCCTCCAACTGATATCACTTCAGTGATGAATAGTTATATCCTCAGTGTCATTTTACTTTAATTATTTTTTGCTGATATAGTTACATTGGGTTATGTTAAGGTCAATTCATCGATGTAAACTGCTAACTTTATGTTGACATGGTCATCAAATACATTACACAGTTAAAATACAAATAGTGTTAAGTATATATATATTTATCAAGTAATTTGTTACTGTAATCACTAGGCTTGATGACACAACATCTCAAAGGACTAGATCTGAATCAAGTGCTTTGGAATAATTATTATGATGTTTTGTTGTTATATTTTATGCTTATTAGTGTTTATAGAATCAGGTATTTCTTTGACCTGGAGGAACTTAGGACTTTTAAACCGTTGTAAACCATGCGTTAATGTTAGACTGATTGATCTGAATGGTGATCTAATGATGTTTATAAAAATGAAGTATTGAGTTGTGAATCACTGAAGGAAGTCTGTATTAAATGACTTAACAACTGTACTATAAGAAAGCACACTGCCCTTAATCAATAAGCTTTCGCTTTATACTACAATACACATTTGACTTTATTGATCAGTATCAAATGAAGTCAAGTCAACCTATCTTGGTGTATTACCCTTTAATGGTTTGTTAGAAATGCGCATTTACTAATTTACTAGTATACTTAATAGCTTGGGATGGAAAACTTTTGCGAATCAATAGTCATTATGCATCGAGAGAGTCAAAAGGTACTCTTTGGCCGAAAAAAATCACTCTTGATTGCTCTTATTCAATCAGGTTTCAGCCTTAGCTGTGAAGGGTTCACGCGGTCACAAGCAGTGTTCAACCTGTCAAGCAAATGAAGAATAGAAATACATCTTCATTTCTGTGATGGAATATTGAGTAAAAACTGGATACGATCCATTTTGATAAAACCTTCAAAGTCTTGTGTAAAATGTGAGTGTCTTCAAGAGACACCGTAGCAATTGCTGAAATAACCAGTTACGTTTCTTTGCAGCATGAAAAACTACCTTTTCTACCGGAATACTGACACCTGATTGATTATTTCATCAGCTGCTTGGATGGCCTTTAAAGTCATTCGTAAAATGCTACCAAAATATCCGAAAGGAGTAAAGGTAAGATACCTAGGCATGGCTGAAGCATTATCACTTCATAAGTACAAACCATCATTATGGATTCAAGAGAAGTATGAACAACCTCTTTCTTTGTCATGGCCATTGTAAAAAATTGGTCATTCTAAAAGATTCTTTTATAACGATCATTTAATTTTTCCATATATAACGCAGCTCCTTTTTGATTATGTAGTGTACTTTAATTAAAATCCTTCTGAAATGTTCCGTCTCGCTGCATATTCACCAGTGTGCTGTTAGGAGAATGAATACACTGAAAGGAAACATTTTCTTTGTTGTAATCGTATTCTCTGTTTTTATTGGGCTCGTTGAAAGGTAACTATCAAGGTCACCCTGGTAACCACCGAAATAACCAATCAAGCTTCTGAATTTTCTCTCGAATAGTAATTTTTTCATGAAATAACAACCAATTATTTTTATTTCAGTAGTTGACAGGGCTGCCCTTACGGTCACCCTCACTAAGTTATTAGATGTTTCAAAGCTTTCAGGATAGGGTTGGAGCGATTGTTTAAGAGATTAATCGACTGTCTATGAAGTGTATATTTAAATTGCTTCCTTCTATTCTTTGTCATGACAAAATGTAAAGCTAAACCGTATCTTTAACTTTGATGAAGCTGTTAGCGCTTAGTAGCAACGAGCCAATAAAGTTCACTCCTGTTTTTTCTCATTAAGAAATACAAGTACCAAAATAATAAATAACATTTCATCAATCAGTCAGTGAGTAATATTTTAAAGAAAGAAGAACTATTTCCTACACATATATTTTGCGATTTATTAAAATTCCATATCATTTCCAGTTTCTTTTCAGTTTAGCAAAATAATGTTTTCCGTTTTTTCATTTCTTTGAAAATGTGCTTTGCTGACTATTAGAAGTATCCAATGAATTCGTACGATAAAACTGTCTTCTAATTTTCAATAATTCTCTTGTTACAAACAAAATGTGCAAAATACTTGTCAATCCAACTAAAATACAGACGATTACAATGCCAAAAAAAGTAGTGACATCTCACCACAGCTGATTGTCATAATAATAGCAGTTATAGGCATGACAACGCCAAAGAAGAAATCACATATTACAGAAAACAGCATCAGTGTTGCCGATGGGACTGATTCATACTGGTATAAGGTTATGGCTAGGATACCGATGAACAGAAAGCCAGCAGCACACCATAGACCAACACCATAACATTGTACATGATATGTATAAATGATATAACCAACTTCTAGCACTGAACAACATAATCCCATGATCAAGAGAAATAGACCTGTTAGCATAGTGAACAGATCCCATTTATCTCCATCGTCACACCAGTAATTAAAGTACAATTTAGGTGTATTTGAAGAAGGTTCAATATCCACTACATGTGTTTTTGGCATGTCTTTTTGGTTATTATTGCTAACAGTACTAATGATGATGAAAATATTGCACAAATTTTAATAAAATGTTTGTCTTCAGGTTTTCAAATCTCCAACGGTTTATGTGACAATAACTTTTTACTATTCATCCAACTGTAGGCGTTTAGTATACATGAATCCCAAAATACACTAATTATTCATCATTTTGTTTAAAACAAACTCCGATTTGTGTAAACGTTTCTGAAGTCTTTTATATATATTCAAACAGTGTGACATGTGTCAATACCATCTTCAATACACAGATGCACATATCCAATTGCTTAACCAATCAAATTTCACTTCTCACTTTATATCAGAATGTGCATTTGATTAAACCGACCTATACCAATTTGAATTAAGAGAGTGCCTTGAAGAACTGCCTTTTAATAATTTGTTAGGACTACATCACTACCAACTTCACATACATAATCAACTAACTACTCATCTATTCCACAATTTAAAAGTAAGTTAAGGTCATTTTGATGTTATTGACAATATAATATTTAGTGAACTGGTAATTGTAATTTACGAAACAATGAGAAAATTGAAAGCTTTACAAGAGAAAACTTAAATCGCTTGCATTTAATCAGTATAAAAGCTGTTTATTACATTTGGTTGGTTCTGTTAAATTAATACTGAAATCAAAGCACATTATGCACCATTTTGGTGGGGGAGATATTGAAAGCGGAAAATTTAAACTGCTAAGAAAGCTGGCATCCTACATGGGCTTGGGAAAAAATTTCAAGCGTTTCTGTATACATATATCGTTTGAGGTAACTACAGTATTAGTCCTATTCCGATTACAGAACAATCGCCAATATTTAAAATCAGTAGCTACTATTTGTTGATTAAATTTCTTATGATGCATAAGTGCACAAAAAGAGAACCGCTTTTTATGGAAAGCTGTCATCAAAGTACGCTGAAACACTTTTGAATCTAAGCTTTTGATTTTAAACTGTTACTCGCCTCTGAGTTATTCTAATAATAAACCCTCCGTACTCAAAGTTCTTAGCCTGAGAAGTGTCATTGAAAATCCATAAAATAACCCTTGTAATTTTTAACCGTTGTCCAGTGCTATTGCGAATGTCACTTGTCCTTCAAGATCTGGCTGGCATCATGGGTTACGACTTATTATTAGGTCTAGATGAGGTTCAACGTTTACAATTCATTCACTAATTAGCAGGGGATCCTTAAAGTTAATCAGGTGAGTTTTGATTTCACACTTCTAACGTAAACTTAATTTGACGTAGATAAACTTCTGAAACGATTGAAAATAACTAAGATGTTGTCATTGCGTCTACACTAATGTATTATCTACTTAACTTCCGATTTCTTTTGGCTTTATTACATAATAGATGCCGTAGAGATTTTTTCTTGTGTAATTCCGGCATAGTGTATTAGAACAAATAACAAAATAAATAAATATTTTGTATGATTCCTCAACTCGGTGCCCAAGTTTTTTCAAACCATCCAGTCCATTGTTGGTCAGGATACCTTCAAATCTTTCCTTGTTATTTGAATTCTTACTGGTTTACCAGTTTTTACACGATCCACTGATTTTATTCCTACTGTGTTATTAACTTGTGTACTCCCTGCACTATTATTATCCTCATTATCTTTCGTCATCTCCACATAGTTTTCTTCCCACACCCAGAATTTTCCACTACAATATGCACCGTGAACTGACACAACTTAGAGAACCATTTAGAATCTGAGGGACCAGAAAGCTGCTTCGTTATTGTTTAGAATACCTCAGCAGGGTTAATCCACTACTATTATGTCTTTTGGATTAGCATCAGCTACTATTTGTCTGAATATCCGACTCAGTCGACCTCACAGGTCACGATTTCTCACTGACACCTCGAAAAATCTATCTGTAAGCAAGTCAATAACAAGCACTAAACAGTAAATCAGTCAGTGGTTTTTGGGGACTGATTGGTTGCTTTCAAAATAATATTCAATTTCATGTGTATTCATTTGAAGTATTGGTCTGCTGTGTCCTGTGGAATTGGTTTTTTGACACTAACAATGACACTCCGTCATTTATTCACTGGATTTTAATATTTGTCATGAGTTCAGTTTGTATTTAATCGATAAGATACCATGAAACGAAAGAAAATCATCTCTACCCTGCAAACTATATTATTCTTGTTTTTGATCACTCGGAGTGTACACGTTTCACGGTAATCTGCATGCAAATCAGATGTACTTGTGTTTTAATTTCAGAAGAAAATGTATTATATCTGTTCCTTTGAATTTAGTGGCACCATAGATTCAATCAAAAATTCATTTGGAGATAGTTTTCATCAAGGAGTTGAAAACAGAACTTAAAGAAACCGTAAAGAGTTGAGTGACATAGGCATAAGATATCGTCAGATTACTGAACACATACTCCTCCTGTCACCGGGTTTTCTTAAGGCTATATTATTATGAATTAAGAAAAAAAACAATTTCTGTCGACTGAAATGAACGAGGGACGTTAGTCCCTGATTGTTTCGATCGATCGCCACCACGTTATAATAGAATATTGTTATTACTGACGGATAGTCATAGACAATAGAATCTGGAAACAGCCTTTCGTCGAATTTGGGACTTGTCAATTTGAAAAGCTTGCCTCCTAGTGTGTGATGTTGTTGGCTAGTCAATTCGGTCTACTCTTCAACGAGGAAATATTAAGTTCAGCTAAGCTATTCATTCATAAAATCATCCGCTAAGACTTTTATTTCAGTACACTAACACAGATTTTTTCCAATAGCCAAGGAAAAATTCACTTAGTGTTGGACAGAGCCTTTCATTAATAAGAGTCAGATTTTAGGTTGGAATTCATCATGAACTAATATCAGTTGGCAGAAAATTGGAGACCTGAGAGCACTGAGCAGCCTTTTCATCTTAATATGGGACTTCTCAAAAGTGCGCACGCATGACCTCACCCCGCTCAGCCAGGGAACGAACCCAGGAGAAGTCCCATACTAAGACGAAACAGCTGTTCACTTCTCCCAGGTTTCCAATGTTCCTCCAAGTGATGTCAGTCCATAATGAATTCCTACCTAAAATCAGTTAATAAACCTCCAGAGAGGTTCAAATTTATTCATACGACAGCAGTGACACTACTGGGATCCACTATCTGCAGAAAATTGAATCGATTACTTACGCCTCGCATTGCTAATGTTAGGCATACGTTCTCATACAGTAAATCCGTTCATTAGTCGTAGGCAGTCTTTATATAGTACTGAAGTCTGCCAGGATTACAGAGAATAAGCTAGCTGCTTGGTCTTTTATGCAAGTTGTCAGCATTGTGCGTCCACGGAGTTATGTGAGATTGCACGCGAACAAATGTCACGTCTCACAGAAAACATGTTGTCATTTATCTACTGAGATAAAATTCAGCTGAGCATACTTTTCAACTTCTCTGAAGTTTGGTTGTCCATATGGTGCGACCATCATTAGAGGTCAATTAAAAGTGTGACTCAGACTTGTTATAAAATTAGTATTTACGGAGATTTAGAATTACAGCTTACCAACAGATACTTGTGAGATTCGTAAAACCACTCACTTAGCCAAAAAGAAGCACTGGGAACTTGATCGTCAGACTTCAATCAGTGCTGCATGCTTAGGAACTGAAAGCTTTATTTCTTTCGATTTGGTGGCCGATTCGTGAAATCTTTTGTTTATTTGGTCATAATACCGAAGCACAGAAAGAAATGTGGCTGCTGGCATCAGTTTCCCATCATTAGAGATATTTTGGACGTTTATTCTCCCAGACTTGATTGCATTGGCATTTTAAATATATCTCTAAAAGGTTTAGGTAACTGATTTTTAATTCTAATAACACAAAATGTCATTTTCTTCAAGATATTCAAATGAAATAAGCTACAATGCTAATCATTACTGATTACATGTTTCGTCTAGTTACACAACTTCAAATTTCGGATAAAATATTCGCACTAAATAATTCAACGCTAACCAACCTCAAAAGCAGACGAGCTAAACTAGTAGTGATAATTTGACTTTCGGTGAATGCACTGTGTAACAACTAAAAATTACTTAGGTTATATGCACTCAGAGTATAGAATTTGTGTGCAAGGATGCACAGATTCCCGATTGACTTCTGAAATATCCTCATCATATTTTACTTATATTGTATCTTTGCTGATTTTTATTCTATGATATCCTTTTTACGCCTATTTATATGCTCTGATGGGGGTGAAAAATTGTTTTTTTGGTTAAAATCACTTGAAAACATGTGCTGAACACTTAAATTTGTGACGTCACTTGGACCTATGAGTAAAGGATTTACTACATCTACAATTATTTCACGAGCATTTTAGTTAGGAAGGAAGATCCGTTTGAAAATGGTTTACAAATTGCGCGATCCATGTTGATATTCCTCACATCTGAGCCGTTGCCCAACTCCGATGTCAGTAGGGTTGCTATTAGGAACCATCCACTCAAGATTGCATGGTGTGATCACTGACACAAAATCGTCATGAACTAACGGAATGTACAACTGAACAACTTCAGTAATTAGAATTTACTCAGGCTGATCTGTTGATTTCATCACTCAGATAGAAGTGATCTAAACATTGGACAGTCGTTCCTTTCGTTTGGATTTGAGCTCATCGGCAGTGTGCCTGGACAAATATAGAGCACAGACATGAGTTGTCATATCATCGCTGATGAACTCGCTCTCAAACAAACGAAACGGTCATCCAGTGTTTAGATCACTCTGATCTGGTTGTGAAATCAACAGATCAACCTAAGGGAATTTCAGATAATCGAGTTGATCAGCGTTATAGTAAAGTTTGTACTATTAACATGAGTTTATAATTCATATGTTGTCATTTAATTACAGTTAACGTAAAGATTGTTGAATACGTTGTACGCAGTGATATAATATTCATAGTACTAAGAGAGTGAATCGGAGATAATCACTACTTCTTAAGATCAAGCGGAGTTTCAGTGGGACCACCATTTTGATCGATTGTTTCTTCTGCTTGGACTCCAGGATTCATTTTAATTCCCAGCATCGCATTTCATGAATTACTTCAACTGAATTTAAAAGCTCTATTCATTTATGAAACAAACAAATTACTCCAACAACTTTATCCAATCGTTTAGATACATGTTAATTAATAATTTAGTGTAAACAAAGCCACAGCGCTAATCGCCTCTTGATATCTCTTAA